AATATAATGATAGGAGTCGGAAGATCGGAAGATCACGTGACTGCGCCCTCGATTTGTGGTTATGCTGGGACTTTCAAAAAAGAGGGTGACAAATTCTGAAAATTCAGCTGTTAGCGGGCAGACACATTACTTTAATATACAAAATTAATAGATAAGAGTTCGACGATAACTTATCAACGAATAATAAATCAATTGATAATTTGGGAACTATTTATATTGATTAGAAATGTTTAAAAATTAAAAATACTACTCAAGAACGCTTTGGCCAATGGTTTGATATATTAATGTTTTATGACTCAAAATTAAAGATATTTATTTATCATCTTTTTTGGTCGTTTGTTCTTGTTAGTTTGGCACATGTCAAAGTCATAATGCAAGCATATGCATATTACAATTATATATTAAACTATGTAAATTTCTATCAAATGAATTAAGAAATTATAGAAATTGAAAATTCTGCATGTCACAAATTTATTGTTAAAGCTTGTGCTTTATGCAAAATATATGTATCTTTTGCTTCAAAAGCAGGACTTTTAGTAATAATAATACCTAATCTGTTTGGAATTAGCGGAACCTTCGTTTCCGCTCATTCATATATTTTTGATATTAGTAAATATTTGATCTACTACTGATTAATACGTAATAAAAATACAGATCAATTAAGTTACTTATTAGTACATAAATTTTAAATTGCACTAAATTTTATTCAGACTGTTTACGTTTTACAATCGATATAAAAGTGTTTGTTGTCACTCCAAACTGCTTTATTTTCTTGATAAGATATTAAAAAAATTATCAATTTTATATATTATTATATATAGTCGACTCTGAATATAACAACTTCTATATAACGAATTCTGGACATAACGTACGGATTTGCTTCGATCACAGCAAATCACAAAATCAACACGTCCCTGCATTGGACCGATTTAGCATCTTGTGATTTTGTGCCTCATATCTCTCAATCAAATTAGGCTCACATGTTAGAAGTAAGAAATCGGTATCATTAATTAATGATGCTTAGCAAAACTACTGTTTATGTTAACCTTATCTTTTGTCAACTATCGCCGTTAAATCTGTGATGCAAATTTGTTACACCCATACGATAGTTACAACGGCCAGACATATAATTGACACCGGTGTCAAATTCGAACGTATTTATAATCATGCGACTTACATAAAGATCCATTTAAATCAAAAATCAAAGACTTATTTAAATTGTGCACGATATTTGTGACGATATAACGGGATCTTAAGAATTACTATTATTTATTATGACATCTGTAATAGCATTATGGTTCTGGCCTTTAAATAGAGCTATACACGCAACTGATTAGTACCGGTCATATGATAAGTAAAAATAAATAATATGTAAAAATGCGATAGATAGATAGAGTCACGCGATTACGTAACTGGCATTTCACGTATGACCAAAATTATTTAAAAGTCAAAAAAAAAAATTATATAAAAACTTCATTCACTTCATTCAAACGTTATGTTTTCCTCGCAAAATGAATTATTTTCTAAGTGGTCTGAGGCGTTTGCTTCAGCAAGACACAAACTTCTTGCTATTATGCGGCAAGAAGGAATTGAAGAAATAAAACGAAAGGGAATTATTATTGACAAAGAAGTATCGCTTAAAGCTTATCTTAAGTTCTGTAAAGGGGAGCCACCCATTTCTGTCAAACACCATTTGATCGATGGAAAAATTGAAGCCTATGAAATGCCTCTTGACCATCATGCATTAGTACAAGGAAAATTAACTGGTAGGATGGGTAATTGGAATTATCGGTTGCAGGTTATGGGTGAAATAGATACTATTGTGGGTACGAATAGTGTCTGTCATCCTGATATTTGTGTTCGACCAATAAATCGCAGACGACCTCAACTCGCACAAGCAATCAATTCAACGGGAAATCCATATCCAACTCTGGTGGTGGAAATTGGAAGTACTGAAAGTTTAAACCATCTGCATGATAAAGTAGCAAACTATTTTTCTCAACGTACCACTATTCAAATTTATATTGCTATCAAATTGTTTCCTTTTCGCCAGGATGGTACTTTTGCGCTTCTTGTATTGCTTTATCTGCGTAACAATCCAAATCCAACCATACCTTCAATTGCAAAGTCTTTCGGGACAGCCCCTCTTCACCCTATCACACAAGCATATCTTCTAGATACTTTACATGTTCAGACCATTTATGGTGTCGAGTTTGGAGGGATTCCCTGTGATGCTGCAAACATCCCTCATAGATATTCCGACTGTATTGCTTTTTAACGATGTTCTTAGTGGTGTTCCTGCTGGTGTACCCGATAATTTTACTATAGACCTATGGAAATTAAAAAATGTACTTCAGGTATATTAGGGTAATTAGAGACAATTAACTGGTTAGGTGAAATATTACGTTTACAAAGAATTGACTCATTACTCCCGTCAAAATATATGATTTACATTTGCATTTCAGCAAAATAAAGTCAGAATTTTTTTCTTGCGCGAATAAGACCAATATCCCAACAATCAGCAGACAAGGATTCCAAAAACTTAACCATAATTAATATTAATAATAGAACTTTAAAGATTTTGACTAGTTCAAGATTATATTAGCATCTGTGTTAGGCATGTCATGATTATTAGGATCAGTCAATTCTTATTGCTGAATTATGAAATATATTAGATTCATCACATTGTCTTCGGTTGATTAAATATGTTATTCTCTTATTTCAGTATAATATACTCTTCTGGCATAAAAAGACCTATTTAACCCATGAAACATATGTTATAAATGGGAACGAAATTAAAATTTGCTCTTAGATTGAAACGTAATAACTATATCTAAAATCTAATTCTCACCTCTAATCCTAATAACCCATCAACTTACCGTATAAGCGCGAAATTACGTCCAGGAATGTTATTATGAATAATGATCTGGATTAAGCTTAGCTTAGCTTAGGCAAATTCGAAATTACACCCTGAATATTATTTCGCACTTATACGGTAAATTCCATTTCCGCCAACATTTTTAATAGTTAATATGTATCTATTAAATAAGGATAACTACGTATGCGATGCCTCGCAGAACCAGTACGATCAATCTGAATTCCTTTTGATTATATCTGTTACGTAATTAAATTCAAAGATATCTTTGGACATTTTCAAATTTCCCTGAGCTCGAGCTATTTTAACAACATATAATATAAATTATATTATTTAGGTCTGCTCATAAATAGTTTCTTAACGTGACTTGTTATTTACAGTATTGTAACAATACTCAATTGTCACAATAAATTAAAATAAAGATTTCAATCCATACCTAGCAGACTTACAGTTTGTGGCTTGTTAAATGTCATTGAAGATTCATAAAAACTATGCCGACAGTCGACAAAGACGAGAAAAATTTATGATATTTATTTCAAATCTTTCAATTAATAAATAATTAAAATACTTACAGTTAAGACATTCTCAAGCATCAACCCAGACTCGATTACCTAGTGATAAATAGTTTACAAGTAGTATGACGTGAACTCATAACATCAATAAAAAACCAAGAGTAAGAATAATGAGATGGTTAAGATTTGCTCAAGGATTACCTTGCTGTGAGATGCTAATAATTGTATTGATACCCAATTACTACAAATCAGTGTTCGAATAATTTTTATTGATCTAAATTTTGCAAATACATGAAAACATAATAACAGCATTGCATTAGTATGGCGATAACAAAGATTCATAATCGCAGTATGAAAATTCTTGAACAATAACTCGTTATTTTAGTATTGTAGTAATAAAATCTCAATAAACCAGTGCAAAAAAAAGGATGGTCAAGAACAAAAAGTTCATTGACCGGATGATAAACTCATTGTGCGCTTTTACAATTTAAGATTTTTCGATATAACCCTATAAAAAATTTTTTAAAATCTTATTCAGACTTTACTCTGATTATTTTTTAAGAGATGAACATTTTCCGTAACAGAAATCTATACAAAACCTTTAAAATCTTCTGAACATTTTCCAATCTCCTGATTATTTTTGAAACCTGATTATAATTTTTTGCTTGATCAAAATTATAACCAGGAAATTAACAAGGTTTCAAAAATATTCAGAAAATTTGAAATATTCGGAAGATTTTAAAGGATTTGTATAGATTTTTGTTAACGGAAAATGCTCATATCTTAAAAAAAAGCTCAGAGCAATGGTTTTTAAATTTTTTTAATAGGTAATAAACTAAAAATGTCCTATACTTTCTTTATCTTCATGACAGGCTTACTTGATAATTAAAAATACCTTTGCCAATCCCTAAAACATCATGATCTATTAATTGATCTGTTAATTGAGACACTTGAAACACCTTAAATCAGATATTTAAATTAGCATAAATGATAAATTAATAAAAAAATAAACTATTTCAAAAATTTTTAATTAACAAATAAACCTTTACACATCAGTCAAATTGTATTGAATAAGAACCGTAATTACCGATTAAAGGTGCTCTCTAGCATCTCCCAGGTGAATTTTTTGGTGATCTAAATAACTTATAACAATTGAGATAAAAATCAATACAATAGCATAAATTAAGATTCACTTAGGTATTACTCTTAATCCCTATAAAAAATTTTTAAAAGCATGCCATCAACTTTTACTAGGTTATCATTCCGGAAAATGCTTATTTTTTCTGGAATCAAACACATAAAATTTTGATTATTTCTATAAAATTCTGAAAAATTTAAATTTTAGAAAGATTAGCAGAAATATTCAAGAAAATATGTATTTTTCATAATGATAGCCTGATAAAAGTCGAGGTGTTGTTTCAAACCTTTTTATAATGATATAGAGCGAGGTGCTTGAGAATCCTTCCATAAAAAACTACCCACTAATCAAATTGGTAGAAAAATTAATAAGAAACATTTGCATGAAACATTATTGAAAATATCAAATTAATTTACTTCAATATAACTTACAGGATAGTATAAGACTTAACATATTAATTTCACTTGCAAACTAATTTGTGAAAACCGGCTATTTTTAGAATTTCCGGTTTTCACTTACATTAAAAAATAGTTAATCTTCACTTGGTAGATATACATATAATCTCAATGATTCAAATAAAAATAATTCGTTCTAATATTATTAATTAAAAATTATTTTATTAGAAAATTGATTATATCAAAATACGCTTAGA